TTCCTGATTATATATTCTCTGCAAGTGCATTCAGCCAAGCACATTTGCAGTATCCTTTTAGACCTTCATGCTCAGCCTAAAGGCCAGCAGACTCCAAAGTGGGCAGGTGTTTGATGACAGGACATACACATATGCCGCACCATCAGTTTTGTCCTACGTGCAAGCTGGTAGCAAAAATACTTCTTTTCCTTTCCCCCGTATATGCCTACAGAAAGCACACACACTTGCATCCCCTCACAATCACTACTGGTGGGAAGATTGCAGACTGGGAAACAGGACTGGGGAGAATGGGTTGGGATAGTTACATCGACAATATCCTCCAGGGTTACTGTTTTCATGTCACTTCCAATGACTGGAAAATCGCTGTCCTGGCAAGTCAGAGAACAGTGGGTTTCATTTCTCTCCACTGGCCAGCTGGTCAGCTAGACTGCAAAGGACAGTGAGAAAGGTGAGTGGGGTTTACTAGAATTTAAGATTTCACAGAACTTTTGCAACTCTTTACTAGAGGAATGACATAAGTGAATGGACCCCACTGAGAGGCTTTCAGGAGTTGCAAGGAATAATAGAAGACACTACTCCACCATGCTAGGGCCTAGTAGGAAACTAATCATGAATGCTACTGACTGCCATGTCCAGGTAATAATGTCTTTGAAAACCTGGTCAGAATGACCAGTCTGTATGTGATAATTGTGTCATAATTGTGGCAAACAAGACCCTTCCTCAATGAATCCAGACAAGAAAGAAAGACACAAGGAAAGGAGAAAACTGTGACATTGCAGTTTTCTAAGTTGAAGAAAATTGTTTTGATCAGGTTGAAGAGGGGAAAAAAGGACACTGTTCATAGGGAAGCTGAATACTGAATGCAAACTAAGGACATGGCTTGTAGTACACTGACCTTTGAAGTAATATTATGGTCCTTTTAAACAATAACATAATTTTTAATGTAATAATTATTGTTTAATTGTGACTTCCAGAAAGTTGAGTTGGGTTTTTGCTTTTGTTTTTTGAGAATCACTGAGGGTATAGATTTTTCTATTTAAATATTTTTTTAAGTCGCTTATTGTGCTATTTGATTGCATGTGACATGGTGGCACTGCGGGCTAAACTGCAGAAGCCCCTGTGCTATAAGGTCTGTAGATCTTCAGCTGTAAGATCGAATCCATGTGATGGAGTGAGCGCCCGTCACTTGTCCCAGCTCCTGCCAACCTAGCGGTTCGAAAGCATGTAAAGGCAAGTAGATAAATCTCGGTGGGAAGGTAACAGTGTTCCGTGTCTAAGTCGCACTGGCCATGTGACCACGGAAGATTATCTTCGGACAAAACGCTGGCTCTATGGCTTGGAAAAGGGGATGAGCACCGCCCCCTAGAGTCAGACATGACTGGACAAAAATTGTCAAGGGGAACCTTTATTATGCTATTTATAGCATATAGTGAATGTGTAGAAGGCCTCTAATCCATTCTGTACTCAGATCCTGGACATACAGATTTGGACTGATCCATCCTGTGCACTTTAAAAGAATTTGTACTCCATCCACTTTCAGTTGTCCTTTATATACACAAACAGTTGCGACCTAGGGTGGGAATTACACAGCACCACCTGTTTTATCAACATGGTAGATCTTAATCTTTATAACCAGATTTCCAGCAGCCAATGGTTCATATTTGTACTACTGCACCAAAAAGTATAAGAAGAGAAGGAAAAAAGAAAAAGAAAACTGTAGAAGAAGGAAGAATAGACCCTATTGCCCTATCCAGTCAAAGCCCATATAGCAGTTCTTCCACAATCACTCGCACATTAAATCCTAATAATGGAATAGTAGTTCGGTAACATTTAATGAATGTTGTTGTGTGGGAGAAAAAGAAAAGAAAAAGAAGACTGAATCCAAAAAGACTCTCTAAACAATGGCACAAGTCTTTCACTGGAAAAGATTATGTAATGTGCACTGATTTCTTCTGAGCCCTCTGTAGCCCTTATGTGATTGGAGTGTCCATTATGGTTTCTTCTGAGCCTTCTGTAGCCCTTATGTGATTGGAGTGTCCAAGGAAGCTCTTTAGACTTCCCACCTACATTGTTCTTTCATGCCAGGAACTCAGTCTACCAATAGTATGTTTAGTTTCAGTTTTTCCTTTCCTCAGTTCAAATTGTGGGACATATTTTAATCCTACAAATGCCAAATGGAGCAAGAAAAATCTCTTGGGCTGTTTCCCTGCATTGAGATGAACAGTGGGATTTTGCTCCACTACACTGTTCCCCAAAACCCCAAAATAAAGTTCAGTTTGTCTAAGGACAAGACACGTGTCTAATAACAAACAACTACTTACATGTTGCATGCTTTAAAAAGTGATGCTACCATGTTACTTTTTAAAAAATGATGTTCCAAACGCTGGATTTAAATTAGGCGAGAAGTAAACATGAAGATGTGGGGACGTGGTGGCGCTGTAGGCTAAACCGCAGAAGCCTGTGCTGCAGGGTCAGAAGACCAGCAGTCGTAAGATCGAATCCCCGTGATGGAGTGAGCTCCTGTCGCTTGTCCCAGCTCCCGCCAACCTAGCGGTTCGAAAGCATGCAAATGCAAGTAGATCAATAGGGACCACCTTGGTCGGAAGGTAACAGCGTTCCATGTCTGAGTCGCACTGGCCATGTGACCACGGAAGATTGTCTTTGAACAAAACACTGGCTCTATGGCTTGGAAACGGGGATGAGCACCGCCCCCTAGAGTCGAACACGACTGGACAAAAATTGTCAAGGGGAACCTTTACCTTTACCTTTACCTAAACATGAAGATAATACACTTTAGCACACTTAATTCTATAACAGATTATAGCTTTTTGGCCAGAATCCTACTTGGTCAGTCCATTCACACAACAACTATAGCAGGCTTTTTACGGAGTTTGTACAAGGAAATATCCAGTGCACACATATCAGCTGGCTATTTTTAATGGGGATCTCCACCAGTGCTGAATGGGAAACCAGTCTTAATTTTTTTTACCAGTCATGCAATTTAACAAATACATGCTACCTCATGTTCGTTGGCCCTCCCAATATTTATTATTTTTGTATACTTCAGCCATAATTTTAACTTTAAAAGAAAAACAGGTTTTGATGGGAAAACTGTGAATGACGGAAGTGTACACCAAAAAGAACCTTGAAGCCATTTCTGAAAAAGAACCACATTACTTCATTTTTGAAAGGGCAAATAGTGCTGCAGCCTTCTGTTTAGAGCTTGGATTATAATGAAGAGAGCTCTTAAAACT